AAGAAGAAGAAGAAGAAGAAGAAGAAGAAGAAGAAGAAGAAGAAGAAGAAGAAGAAGAAGAAGAAGAAGAAGAAAAAGGAGGAGGAGGAGGAGGAAGAGGAGAAGAAGAAGAAAAAGGAGGAGAAGGAGGAGAAGAAGAAGACAACCACTGATACTGGGTGTTTTTTAAAAAAAATAAAAAGAGAACCCATTTAAATACCTTATTAAGAAGTAAAGTTTTGTGTTTTACTCAATTTTGATTTATCTTTTTAGAAACTTCATATCTCTCGAACACGTTGATCAACTTTCTTCATATATTTATACATTTGATGCCTCCCCTGGTTGAATTTTTGTCTATTCAAAGTTAGCTTACTATTGAAATTAATGCTGTGATGACCGAGTTATTGACCTTTGAGTGGGTTGTCTTTTTTAAACTGATAACATTGTTACCTAGATCTATTCTTTTTTCACGAGAATATTCCAGTAGCGCTCTCGTCTGTAGTGTTAGTGGCGTGTGGCTCTTTGCCATTGCATGCAGAAAACGGGAGTTTGATTCCCAAATGATCAAGTTTTCCTATTTATTTTTTAAAATTAGAGCATCTTCGTCTGTCTGGAAGAATGCTGTATCCCTCCTCGGGTTGACGGGTTCGAATCCGGATAGCGACAAAAATTTTCTTCTCTAAAATTGTCTCCTTTCACATCCTTTCCTGTTCTCTAACATTGTTCTGTCGTCTGCCTTTGTCTCCAATTTCTGCCCCCACCCTCCTCACCTCCCTTGTCCCCTCCTCTGGGGTTCTGGCTCTCTCTGCAGCCTTTCTACTGCAACTTCTTGGCTCCTTACTGCTGTCTCTCAGCCACACCCCTTATCTTATGGTAGGAAAGATCTACACCTAGCCTTCTCGAACAAGGGGTGAAAAAACTGGGAGGTACCATGTGCAAGTTGCGCACGCTTAAGATCCCTTGGCGGTCCAAAATGGATAAGAGTAGGCTTTGGCCGCCACCCGGGCAAAATTCAAAATTTCCTACCAACTGAAATTGTCAAATGTGTCCCGCGCGCTCACACAATCAATGCTGTTTCGAGCGCCGTAATACATATATCACACCCCCTCCCCCCCCCCCCCCCCCCCCCACGTAAAAAAATAATTTAAAAAATTAAACCCTCGCATTTCAGGTGGGTTGTTGGTGCTCTGGTGTGGTTTGCTCCTTTCCTTTCAAACATTTATCATCCTTGTCTCTCCTCCTTTTTCTGTTTGTTACTCTCTTGTAATAAATCTAATCTTCGGCATTTATATGACCTAACTGGGTTGAAAGTACCGTAAAACTCTTACTAAAATGAAACTTATATTAATTTCTACCAGGTGTACGAGTCTGACAGTCTGGAGTTCTCCATGCACTGCCTTCTGTTTGGGGCACTCACCATTCAGCTCCTGGTCTTCTCTTTCGCGGATAAACGGGAACGTCACGGATACCTGGAGATGTCACAGGTCTGCTAGAAGAACTTCATGATATCTGATCTCCAACATCAACTTAAACGATTTCCCTACCTCGCCATTTTCCTCTCTGTGATCAAATCGTTTTCTCTTTTCTGATTGAGATTGGAAAGACAAATCAATAGTTTCTTCTAATTTCTTGAGAGACTCCTAAACTGTTATGTTGTTGTTTTACATTAAAATGAGGGAAAATTAATGTTCTACAAGACATTTCAACTGAAAAAAAGTAATATGAGTACAGTATAAAACAGTGGTTAATGTGAGTCTGAAGACTCTGGAACAGAAGCTAAATCAAGTATTTACATGAAGTGCGGCTCACGGTACGGGATGAGTTAAGGTGTTTTGTAACTGTGTGTCTTGAGAGTGTTCTGCTGCCAAATAGATCTCATATTATTGATGTAAAGACTTCTCCACCAAGACCCCCCCCCAAACCCCCCCCCCCAAAAAAAAACCGCCTAATTTTTTCGTATGGTATTCAAGTTGTTGTATGTTCTCGTGTCTTTCAATGCTTATAATGTGTATGTCTTTTGTGTGTCTGTCTTTGTTGTTTTTTATGGCTGTCTTTCGTGTGTCTATCTTTTGTTTGGTTTTTATCATTGTGTCTGTCTTTTGTGCATTTGGCTCTGTTTTTTTTCTTTTTTAATTTGTTTGTGAATTTGTGTACATGTCAATCGGCACTCTGTTCGGCAACTCTCTTCTCCAAAATCATAAATCTTTTTCTTATTATAAATATTTAGCTTGGTAGGCTACATGTAGATCTAATTAGTTTTTATTAGTTTTGGTAACAGTTTTATTTTTCCCGGCATTTTTAACACAAATGTCAGACAAGTGAGGAAGATTACAGGTGTTACTAGAGAGTGACATACAAAGGAAAGAAAGAGTAGAAATAAGGATGATACAATTTTGATGGGGGAAAAAGGAGTAAGTCACACCAGAGTACCCGCCAAGATTTATGTACTTTGTTGAGCTGAACATATACGAAAACCCCCAGAAAGAAAGGAAAAACAGCAGGAGGAAAGGGAAAAATATGGGTGGGGAGAGAGAGAGAGAGAGAGAGAGAGAGAGAGAGAGAGAGAGAGAGAGAGAGGGTGAGGTAGGGGAGAGAGAGGGTAGAGAGAAGGGGAGGGGGAGACACGGAGTGGAAAGGTGACAGACAGACAAAGAGACAGAGAGCCCGATAGACACATGTAAATACAGACGGATAGACTAAAGAGCGTTTCAATTTGTCAGTTACATAGGCCTAGGGTAGGAACAGAGATAAACTTATTACCGTTAGAGAAAACAGTAATTTCCAAGTTATACAGGTAGAAAGACGTTTGCCTTCATGGAAACTTTGAAAGAAATGAAATCTAATGGAGGAAATCAGCGAACAAAATACGTTTTTTTCCCATGCATTATACTTTTATCACATTTATTCCTGCAGCGTGCATCATTGGAGTTGACTGCGTCCTTCCCCAGTATTTTGACCAACTGGTGGGTCAATGGGTACGTGTTCATTTTACAAACATATTCAATATTCGTCTCTTCTTTTGTAATGCCTCTTATTAAGAAGCCGGGAGTACATGTAGTTGAATGTGAGAATAATGGAGTCACCCAACTCGATAGTTGCAAGCAGATGTGAGGTGATTAGATTGCCATACTTTCTACTTGTGAAGTGTGGATGTGGTTAGTTTGTTCGACTCCGTACAAAGTTATACAATAATCGTACAACATTGGGCATAACATTTTATACAATTTTCTTCCTTCTACAAAACTAAAGTGTGAATAGACTATAGTAACTGGCTGTGGCATTGGGGTGGTATTCAAGGTGAGATTAAATCTGTTAGGGAATGGTCTCTCCCATCTGGTGATATAAGATCTAGGGTTTAATGTCTCTCATTGTTCTGGAAAGGACATTACGCCCAACTGTTTGGGACCATGTTATAGGCCTATAGGCTTCTGAGACATTCTACTAGATTCTACCTCCCTTTATCCTGAATTTTCCATCCAGTGCTTCTATCTCTTTTCTCTATTTCCCTCTCAATTAATGCCCACCCTCCCCAGGTCCAGGTGTAACTACTTTTAGATTGTTTGTATTACTTTCACAGAACTATTCAGTCAGGGTTCAAAAAAGCGTTGACGGAGGATGATATCAACGATCTTCACCCCGACGATGTTTGTGAGGTGCAGGTTCCCAGATTTGCCAAGGCCTGGCAAGCAGAAGTGAATCGAGTCAACGCATATAACGAAAAATACCTGTACGTTATTTCGCCATCTTTGGCATAATTATTATTATGTTTCTTATGTTGAAAGCTACGTGTACATGTTAGTTACCGGCACGGAGATTGATCACATAGAGGGAGAGCGTAAAAACGACGGTCCTTTGTAAGAACACTGAAATCACATGGCAGTTTACCAAGGGCTAGAAAAAAGGGGCCTCGGGCTTTGAACTTAAAGTTTCAGTGTTTTGGTCTAAATCTTACTGGGTAATCAAATGATCGACATGTCTCTTTCATTAGTTTGGACTTGAATGTTTGTAATTTATACTTCTATTTATGTGGTAAACGAATCTCAGTTGTCTCCTTCTGGTGATTCTAACTGAAGGACAACCGGCTATTTGGAACTTTTCTCTGTTAGTTTTCCTCTCTGTCTATGAGGTTCTGAGTATTGTTTTTAAATACCACATTTCGGCAACTTCCAGTCCTTGTATTTGGGCCCCAACTCTCACATCCATATAAAAGCGATTGACCATACGAATACCTACTCTTTCAATGTTCATAATAATTAGAAATAATCGTATTTATACATCACATATATATTCACACCCTACAGCTTGCTCTATGCGCTTTACAACTATTAATACCCCGACGGACACTGGAACACTGAGAAACATTCTCGGCTTCCCGAGAAGCACACAGCACAGACGGCAGATTACATGCGCTCAAACACTTACAAACTGACAAGATCTTTTGCGGAGTACCTATTGCCACAAGAGTGAAGTGAAGAAAATTAATGTGAAGTGCCTTACCCAAGGTCACAACGTCGGGCTTCTAACGAGATTCGAAAGTCCACCAACGCCACGTTCTTTGAGCTCAGTAATGTTTGTGTTTGAGAGGACAGGTTTAATTTTGTTCAGTTTCTTTGGATAATGCAGTCCTCTTTTTTTAAAACCATCTTTGTGTCTTTTTTTTGCATCTGGTGTTATATCATTATGTAAACAAGATCTGTTGACGTCATCATCATCAAGTACCAGATCTGCGACAGATTTCGGTGATCATGGTTTTTCCATTCATCCTTTTGCTTGGATGCTCTTAAAAAAGCGACATTACCCTGATTTTTCCCTGTCACCCATCTGTTTCAGTTCTCCAAGTAGGTTGTTCTGGGTCTTTAAAAAATTTTTGGTAGGTGTTTTACAGCGCTCGCAAAGTCTGCATAAGGTCATATGGGCGCACGGGACACATAAAACTTTGTTCAGTTGGTGGGAAATTTTGAATTTTCCCCGGGTGGCGGCCGAAGCCTACTCTTATCGATTTTAGACCACCAATGGATCTTTAACCTGCTCTTAAATGGCACACGGGCCCTCCGAGATTTGTCGCTTTTGTCCGAGAAGGCAAGGTGTAGATCTTTCCTACCGTAAGGTCAGGGGTGTGGCTGAAAGACAGCAGCAAGAAGGAGCCAAGGAGTAGCAGTAGAAAGACTACAGAAAGAGCCAGGAGCCCAGAAGAGAGGGCAAAGGAGGTGAGGGGGTGGGGGCAGAAAGTGGAGACGAAAGCAGACGACAGAACACTGCTAGAGATCAGGAAATGAGGAGAAAAGAGACAAGTTTAGAGAAAAAAATGTTTCGTCGCTACCCGGATTCGAACTCGGGACCTTTGAATGAGAGGTCAACACCTTAACCTCTCGTCCACGAGAGCCCCCAGCTCTGGGTCTATACCTGCCAACCTAGTTTGCCTTCGATTTTGTCAGTGAGAGCTAGATCTTCAAGGCCTTTGTGTCTATTTAGGTGTCCCGAAAACTGCATTTGTTTTTTTCCCTTATCGTTTTTTTTCAGCCAGCGGTCCACGTGGGCTTCTTCAGTACATCCTCATTCGATTTCTTTTCTTTCCATGTTATTCTCAGCAGTCTCCTAAGAAACCACATTTCTATTGCTCTAGTTCATTTTCACTGTCTTTAGTGTGTGTGTCCAGTATTCACAGCCTCATAGAAGGGTTGACCATAGGCCCACCTAGTATTTCATCAGCACTTTCGTTCTGACATTGGTAGTCATCCTGTTGACCTATTTCATTTCATTTTTACGTTTTTGTGCATTCTGGGATGTCCGCACTTTTTGAGAAATCGCCATGCATCACTTATCACATCCAGTGCGGAAAGGATATTCTGGACTGCACTGTAGCCTCTTCGCTTCTGGAATCTAATTGTCACACAGTTAGAATCTCCTGGAGATTTCAGATTCCAAATAGATGTCACTAATAGACTCAGATTTTGACATACATGCTTACATATTATGTACTATAAAACTGTAGACCAAATATAACTCTAGCCTATGCCAATGCCTTACAAAACTGACCACTGACCATTTCCTATTAAAGACTCAGCCCCCTTTTTTGGCTTGTTGAAAGTGGAAAATGAAAGTGGATAGGTCTATCCACTGCTAGATCTGTGTCTTTTATGGAGACTGATATGACATTTAGTCAACGGTCCTGCTTTGTGCTGTTCGATTTAGATTCTACTTTATCGCCGGGGGGGGGGGGGGGGGGGGGGGGCTTTTCGAAAATAATGATACTAGACTAGATCTAGATCTAGCACTAGTATAAAACTTAAGTTAAGCAACAGTTCTTTATTTTAAAAACTCCTGACATAGTGAGCACATAGCAATAAAATTGTATTCTTTAAAAATCATTCTTGCAAAATAAAGTATAGAGTTACTAGAGATTAGCCTAGCTTATAGAATAATGTTTGAGCAATTCTATACTTTGCAAGAACAATCGTTTTTCTCCAAGTTTTTAAAAGGCCTATTTATGGAAGAAGAAAACAATACAAATCAGAACAAGTTTACATTAGATAAACTAAGAGCTAAAGAAATGAGTCTTAAGCAATTGTAGTTTTCAGTGCTGTCCTTATGTGGAGAATCTATGTAATTAATGTTTCACTTGGACAGTTTTCCCGTCTGTGGTTGAACTAATTTTCTTGTGCATATATTATTAAATGTTTTTTCATGTGTGTGTGAGGTTTTATTTTCAGTTATCATGTCATTAATGTAAAGCATTCAGAGCTTTCATATTTTTAAAAATTCAATCTATTATTATTACTTTTTCAGGTGAACTGTGTGTTGTTGTAATGAAAAACACTTGTAATTTATATAGGTGCATGGGGATTTAGGGGCCTCTGTATTTTGCTTGTGTGCTTTCACTTATTGTGTATTTTCAATTGTCAGGGCGGAGAATCCTGAAGCTCGTTCACTTTACTCATCAATGGACCACCGTGTCAGCTTACAGAACAGGGACAGAAAGGAAAAAATGCTGCACAGGAGGAGACCTTTTGAACCAAATGAGAAGACCAAACTGCTTAAAGGACAGGCGAAGAAAGAAGAAAAAGACAAGACAGAAAATAAATCTCCTCTTAAAGAAGCTAATGTGATCAGGGCATTATTTATGACCTATGGGTTTGAACTCGTGTCACTTCAGGTAAGTTTTACAAAGTTTTAAGATAGGAGACGGGGGATAGATGATGATTGCATGAAGGATGAAAAGAGGGTGGCTCGGTTAAGAGACGAAGGATATAGAGTAGACTATTTCTCACCTCTTGCTTGTGCATGGTATGAATCTGATTGTTTTTTCTTTTTAATCAAGGAAGAAAGGGAACATGACTATGAAGGAGAGTGTCAACAGAGAGGATGAGGGAGATGAAAGAGAAAGTTTGAGGGGTTGATAAGAAGGGCAAAGGGAAAGATGGAGCAGCAAATCAACATAGGGGAGAGAAGGATGGAAGTTTAGGGTGTGACAACATTAACATCAGGCAGGATGAAAGAGATAAAAAGAAGTAATATTTCTTGTTTCAATGCTCTATTTTATTTCAGATTTTGAAGACATGCTTCGATTTGATTGCTTTTGTGGGGCCAAAAATAACGGAGTAAGTAAGCCCTTCTTGCAGATGAATTGAAGACCTATCCTTATATGGAATAAAAAAAGAAATGATTTAGAAGAGTTTATTTCCATTTCTAAAGCATGCGTTTGTAATCTTTATGCATGCATGCGAACTCTTTTCAGGGAAACTGAACCAGACATTTGCAGTTGTTTGTAGTTTCCCCTCGGGTGTAGACATATATACTACAAAAATGTTGGCATCCACTTTTTCGTGCTTCTGTATTAAAGACTAGTGCAATGTGATTAACAGCTATTTTTAAAATGGTAAATGATTTCTGACGTACACCACTGAAATGTGCCCTCCAACAATATACTTAAGCTGTTCATGAGCTTATCTGGTCGTTGTCACAGGTTTTGCAAGAGCTTTCCTCCTCTGTTTCAGAGCTATTCTGGACTTTATCGATCGACCTAAGGGTGATCATGAGATGTGGAAAGGTTATGTGTTGGGTATGTCCTACTTTGTGGTCAACACTTTCAGCTCCCTCATGAGCAATCAGATCCTTCTCCGGAATAAACGTCTGGGCATGCACATGAAGAGTGCTCTGGTGGCTGCCATCTATAAGAAGGTAAAGGCCTTTTGTTGAACTTGAGAACTTATGTATATTAGCCTCATCTGCTTTAATCTCCCTGTCTTTCTATACTTGATCTGGAGATCTCAAAAAGACTGACATAGACAAAAGCCACTGTGAATTTTGCAGTTAGGAAAGAAAGATGGATAACTTGAAAATGTTTTGTACTGATATATTCTGTAATTTTGGAGATGCCATTTAATTCGTTTTATAAAAAAAACAGTGTCTCTCAATCATCGGGACGGATTGTTGTACTTCATCTTGGTGTATAGATACGATTATGCAATTTTAGTATAATAATCATAACTTTAAGATAAAAAAGTTCCCTCATTTTTCTGCTCTAAAGTTAATATCTTTTTTTTTTTTACTTGACCAGTCACTTACAATGACCAATGAAGCAAAGAAAGAAACAACGCTGGGAGAGATCGTCAACCTGATGTCCATAGACTGCCAACGTGTGGAGAGCATACTTAACTTTCTCTACATCCTTTTCTCAACACCTTTCCAAGTAAGTGAGGGGCAGTCCTTCTCTGAAGTTTTCTCCTTTCTCCTCCTTTCCTGTTCTATAGGCATATTCTGTCTTCTGCTTTCACCTCCTTTTTCTGATTCCCCCCTCCCGTCCTCACCCCACCCCTCGGTCCCCTCCTCTCACCTTTACTCCAGTCTCCTTACTGCTGACTTTCAGCCACCCTGGACCTGATCTTAGGGTAGGTAAGATCGAACAACTAGCCTTCTCGAATGATGGCAAAAAGTACTGCAAGTCCCGCATGCAAGTTGGGCACATTAAAGAACATGTCGTTGTCCTAAAATTATTGTTAAGAGTATAGGCCTCAGACGCCACCTGGGTGAAATTCAAAATTAATGCCTTCTAGAACTGAAAATTCTCTAGTAGTATAAAAACACAAATAGAGGACTTTCAAAATCGAAATGTGGCTGCGTGTAGGTAAGGGATCCTACAAAGTAGGAAAAACGTTGTTATACGTAAAAATCAGCTGCACTGTAGGTTAAAGAACCAGCAATTGACTAGATCTACCCCTGAAACCAAGCAAGGGAATATAAAGGGAAAAAAAGAAGAAATTTTGCTCTTTTAAATTCAGCTAATAATGACAAAATAAGATGTGAAGGTCTACATGATGCTAAATAAATGTCACTTGAGATGTATTTACTTGAATTTATAAAATATCTCCTGTCAATCTGCTGTATTGCTTATACCCAGGGCCTATGCTGTGATGAGTGTCACTGGAGGTTAGGACAAAGGACTGGTATCATGATATTTCTTCAGATTTATTTTAATTCCAAAATTGTAACAATCTAGATCTAAAACTGAAATATTTTTGTGTCAGTAGCATTTTATTCTTTATTACATTAGTTTTAGTCTTGGAATTTATTCAAGCAATTATCAAGTAAATTATTGCTGGTAAATAGATATTATGCACAAATAACATGAATGTAAAACGTTTGTAGTTTACAGGATAGAGACAAACTTCAGATGAGAAAGCCGGGTTCATTCTCGAAGAAGTTTTCCATGTTATGTTAGTTGATAGAGAGAAAGATTTACCTGGATTTTAAAACTCCTAATCCACAATATTTGTTCACTCACAACACACATGTATAATGATATATTGATGCTCATATATTTTTGCTGTTTCATACAAAAACAAGAATGCATGTTTCAATTTAGCATTCCCCTTTCCAGTTGTCAACACAAGTCCTCAAACACCAATTTGTAAAACTTTTTTCCTCTGGTGAGTACCGGTATTTAAAATTCCTGTTTGTTGTGCCTCCCCAGATTGCCATAGCCCTGTACATGCTGTTTGATCAGATCGGTGTGGCTGTGTTTGCTGGAGTTGGCGTGATTGTGCTCCTCATGCCACTTAACACATTTGTGGGAGTGTTCCTGAGGCAGTATAATCGGGAGGTGATGAAGGTCAAGGATAAACGTATCCGTCTCATGAATGAGGTCCTTAATGGTATGAAGGTAAGTCTTTGAGGGCTGGGAGAATTTGGTGGGATGAGGGTAGGGTCCTGTGAGCTAGAACATGGATCAGATCTATTTAAGACAGTGCACGGGAGTGTTTGTTTTTGTTTTGTGGATTTTTTTGGGTCAAGTTCACTGGCCTTGGACGCTCAGGATATGTAAGCCAGGTAAGCAGGCATATAAATATGTTTATGTAGACAGTAAGGTTTTGGCAAATTTCACATCCTACACTTCCCACATTAATGGGCCACCACTCTGTGTAAGCGACATTTTTAGTCGATATTACAAATCCCTCCCTTGTTAGTTACCAATGTAATTTCTTAAGCCAATTTCTTATGACACTGAGCAAAATGGTTTTTGTTTGATATTACGCTGAGCTTAATGTGTGTGTGTGTGTGCGAGAGAGTGTGTTTGTG